GTACCACTAACATAACCATCAATTTGGTTCAAACATTTTAGAGAAAAAGTAAATTAATAGTGAAATGAAATCAGTCAAGGTGATGACAGTAAAATAGTTTTTATAGTTAATCAAGGACAAAATTTTCTGTGTTAGGTAAAAAGAATTCTATGAAGTAATCTGTAGAGGGTCATTTGTATATTTATATTTTTGCTATATATATGAACGACAAGACAGTGATGAGTTTCTAACCGAAGTTGGGATGATGGGATTGAACAAAGGGATGCGATGCATCGATATTGTTAGATTATACACCATCGGGTGACCTGGTTGAGAAAGGTTCGATGTTCAATGGTCTACTCCTGAAAGGGGCTGACATAATAGATGACATAAAGGCAAAGCTGGAGAACAAGTGTCCTGGAACCGTGTCATGTGCAGACGTATTGGCATTTACAAACAACGCAGCAATGACAATGGCGGGTTTACCTGCTCAGAGGCCCCTTGGAGGTCGCAGAGACTCTATCGTTTCCCTTGCAAGCGTTGTAGAATCCGACAATCTTCCTATGTCAGATTGGAACATCGACCAAATGATGGAACTGTTTGGCAGGAAAGGGTTCAACATAGAAGAAATGGTGGTGATGATTGGTGCACATTCTGTTGGGATTTCTCATTGCGACTTCTTCATGCAGAGGGCCTTAAACTTCAGTGGGACTGGGATCCCTGACCCTAACCTGGGTGTGGAGGCGATTGATGAAATAAAAAAAGCATGTCCTAACCCTGGCACAACCCTGTATAGGAACCCCCCTGTGAACTTTGATGCCACACCAACTGTTCTTGATAACCTCTTCTTCAAGGACATGGTGGAGAGAAGGAGAACTTTGCTCATTACCGATTCACATCTGTATGAAGATCCCAGAACTAGGCCAATCGTCGAACAGATGGCAGCTGACCCTACCTTGTTCCCCAAGAGATTTCCTGAGGTCATGGTCAAACTCACTTCTTTGAATGTGCTCACAGGGAATGAAGGGGAGGTGAGGAAGATTTGTAGATCCACCAATTAAACATCAAACAAATTACTGTAACCATGTCATCATCATCATCATTAACCAAATTTCTTATTCTTTAATTCTTTTTTTCCCTACTGGGGCATTTTCTTCATATCCACAATCATCGCTGCCTCTTTTCTTCCTTCCATTTGGAATTTCTGTCATGTATTCATGGCCAACTAAATATTATTGATTTTTTTCTTATGTATTTCTGTCATGAATTCATGCGCAACTAAATTCAAAACTCTTAGTTGCAAAAATTGTGTAAAACTACCTGTCCCAAAAATCAGAGAAAGAGACCACGGCAGAAATCCATGGTTTCCCCTCTGTTGTTGTATGAAAGTTCTTAATTATTGCCTTTTGTACTCTTGGTTTATGTACATGTAAATTTTAAAAAAATAATTACGAGGCAGGCAAAAAAAATTTCGGGCCAATAACTTCAAAGTCCTGCCAGTTTCATCCTTATACAATGGTGGTTTCACCCTTGTACAGGGGAGGCGTGTATCCAAAATCGATATTAAGACATGCTAATCAATTACCATGTCTTTTATCATTAAAAATAATAAAAATATTAAATAAATAAAGTTTATGATTTTAATTATTTTTGTAATTAAATTAAATTTTTTGTAAAATAATTTTAATTAAATAATTTATAACTATAATTATAATAATTATGTAATTAAAAATTCCAAAAAATTATATTTAATTATAATTTATTTTTTTAATTTTTATTGTTGTATTATAACTTTTTACGAAATATAATTAATTAATAACAATTTTTTCCATTATAAACAATTTAAATTAATAAAAATATTAAATATTAAATATAAATAATTTAAATCAAATTAAAATATAAAATAATTAAATTTGTAGGGTTTTAGGACTCTTAAGTCGTACATTCCTACACACTTTCACTTTTTTTTTTATTTATTTTATTATTTAAAATGATTTATAATTTTTAAAGTTTTTTAATATTATTAAATAAATAAATTTCATTATTTTAATTATTTTTATAATTAAATTAATTTTTTTATAAAATGATTTTAATTAAATAATNCTTGGGTTTTCATACCTTCTCCTCTAACATTCCGAAATACACACTCCCGTATCCACCTACTCCAATCTTTCGCGTTTCATCAAAGTTATTTGTAGCATCTTCAATCTCCTCTAGAGCATAAATTACTGGTCTTTCTGATTCAAATGGAGTTGCATCTTCGGCCATATTTATCATGAATAAACAAAAGACCTTCTTAGTCTCCTTGTAGAGATATTAGCAAATTACTGAAAACTTCGTATTTTCGAAAATCAGTTGCTTTTGCTTCCAAAAATTTATTTTCAAGTTACCTTCTATATGTTCTGCATGAAAGTCCTTTATGGAAATAGTTCTATTTCCAATTGATCTTTTAGACACAATATTTGGATCATTTTTTGCGGCTACACTGGCCCTGGATCTCCTAAGAACGACAACGAGAATTATCAAAGTAACAATTGAAAAGAATGTCACACCCGCCAAGATGCCAATGATTATATAGTGTTTCTTTTCTGCAAACAAGGGAAAGCCATGCTAAGATTTTTGCACCGCGAGCCAATAAAAATATGGAAAAATCATGAATGCTGAAATATAGAAGGGATTGAGGAAGAGAAATCATCACCTTTTCCATTGGAAGGCAAACCATTGAGTTCCCTTGGAACATACAGCACCCAACTAATATCTATGAATGAGGGGTTCTGAACCAGAACTTCGTTCATACTCACCATGTTTGCTAAGGTAGCATTTAGCAGAGTAGCGATTGATATGGGTGTATCACTCCGCTGAACTGTATACGTGACAACAATTTGAGAGTCATTTTTTTCTGAACACCCACAAGGAAGATTTATTGCTAATTCCTCGTTTGGGTTCACTTCTCTGTTAATAGACCAGGCTTGGCCACTGTAGGCAATGTTGTTAATCTCCACAGAAGAGTCATTAGGCTTCACCTTGTAGGTTGTATCATAGAAATATCCGCCAAGGTCATTGGAGCTATTGCAGGAACAAGGCACTGTTATAAGGTAATCTTGCTTTGTGCCGCGCATTATAGGTTTGATTTGGGAGGGGTGAACGGAGTAAAAGTTGGCTAAGTCATCTGCGTTGTGATTGTAACTTATGTGGTAGAGTGAGGCATTGCATGTGCTGATCATGGAGGAGCATCTGAACGGTTCAATGTAAGTTGTTTTGAGAGAAGCTTGGAAGGAAAACACAGCTACACTTACACAAGAAGTTGCAAGAAGAGGAATGAGAAGAGAAAGAAGAGAAAGAAGAGAAGCCATGGTTTGTGTGATCATGAAACCTGTTTGAAAGGGAAGAGAGATAGGAAAGCAATAACAAACTGGTTAATTTCCAAGTGCATCCGTTGCATTGCACTTGTCATCATGTGGTTGTTGCTTCTTGATTTCAAGAACTAGAAACGTTCTCCACTTAGCATGATTTTACAAAATGTGATGATGGTGATGATTATTATAGAACTATTTGGTTCCAATCGTATGGATGAAGCATATTTGTGGGATCTCCGACGGCAATGGTGGACTCGAACAGAAAACAAAAGCCATAGACAAGTTCCACATCGAATAAAAAAGCCATGGTGCCATCACAAGTCACACTCTAGCTGTAGTTTAATCCCACTTGAATGTCGACGACTGGCAAAATTTATATTATTTTATCTGGGTTTTCGTTTTATCCTCACGTTAGGCAGTCGTTTTCAGTTGAAGCATACTAACTTGGATTTTAAAGAAACAAGTGTAACAAAAATCTAATTCTCGTCATAAGCGTTTATGTCATCTTCGGAATTAACTCCCCAACCTTATTTTCTAGTTCTATATGTAAATAGATATTTAAGTTTACCATTATCCTCCGGACAAATCTCTTAATTATAGAAATAAATTCACGTATTTTCAAATTTACGTTTTATGCATATGTATTATTAAATCACAAATCTAAATTGGATTGATCAATATAATGATTTTTATACATTACGAAGACCATCTTATTATTATTTTTATTCTCATTATCCAAGTAATTAGCCTCTAAGCGTAGTAAGTCTCTAGAAATAGGTGAACAAAATTCACCTTTGGGTGAGTTAAAGTGAAAGGTTTTAATAACTAATATTCTCATGGTAAAATAACTAATATATAGAATAAATCTATTGATAACAACATAATTCATAAACAGAAATTTTGAACTATAAAACTCCATCAAATGAATGTGTTTCAATCTTTCCAGCAAGTGCTAATCATGTTAGATGATCCAGATCGAGATTCACAATAACGGTTAAACATAATAAAATGTTTATATAAAATTTAATATTTATAAAAATTGTATACAATAAATAAATGTATCCTTTATTGATCTTATAAAGTTTTTTTTTAATTGTTTATAATCTTAAACTTGACCATAAAATTAGAACTCGTCACATTATCTTCAATTTTAATACATTGAATCTTTAAATTTTTGAAAATAAATTAATAATGTTTTTATTAATTAAATGACGTTTCAGTTAATATTTAAGTTAGATAATGAGATAAACAATTCAAACTCAACCTAAAACATCGTCTAAAAAATTAGCAAATTAGAAAAATTATATTTATTAATTTTGAAAGTTTGTAAAGAGAATTTCTTCAGGTGCAGAAAGAAGAGTCCTGAAGTCATAGGTTTTCGGCCGAATAACTACAGCATTGTGACAATCATGAACGAAACCCAATTTGTCATACACGAGTGGCAGGTTTTATGTTGGGTGAACAGCTAACTTCTCGCGGCAACCTTAAACCAAAACAAGGGAGAAAAGAGAGGTTGTGAAAGTTCATTGACTTTGGCCTAATTAATTTCCCTTCCAATAGTAATGAAGGAAAAAATGACAATGTTCCAAGTTTAGAAAGACAAAAATCTATAATTAATTTGCTACTTTTGTATCCTCTCTGCAATCAAAATTTCTCCATTAGGTCATGCCTATTTGAATCAAACACCATAATTGACAGTACACAAGGGAACACCTGTCCTTAATAACAACCTCAGACAACAAACGCACTTTCTTGGGTTATAAAAGACCAAATATTTGTTTCCTTTGGGTGCCATTGAACCTACATTGAGTTTTTCTCAGCACAGGAAAATGGCACGGATCTTCCTTAACACTCTTTCTCTGCTGCTCCTGCTTCTTGCTCCTTCCGAGGCTGATCAAATAAATTCATACCAACCGGCATCTAATTTTGAAACTCACGTTCCTTTTCTGGGCCGCCATGAAGATTCCAACACTGAACTAACAGGTGATTCAGCCGAGGACAGAAAACGCTTCAATGATCGAACACCCTACACAATGTCTCAAAATGCTTTCCACGCTCCCGGCAAACTCACTGAAGGATTCTACGACCAAACTTGCCCCGATGCAGAAAACATCATCACCAAAGCTTTCCTCCAGATCGTTGAGCAGAATCCAGGCGCTATCGGTCACATCCTTCGCCTTCAGTTCCATGACTGCTTCGTCAATGTAAGCATTTCCTAACAATGCATTGCCTCATCGTACTTCTCTTTCTTCTCTATAAATCAATCTTATTATTATAACCAAAGTATATATATATATATATAGTACCACTAACATAACCATCAATTTGGTTCAAACATTTTAGAGAAAAAGTAAATTAATAGTGAAATGAAATCAGTCAAGGTGATGACAGTAAAATAGTTTTTATAGTTAATCAAGGACAAAATTTTCTGTGTTAGGAAAAAAGAATTCTATGAAGTAATCTGTAGAGGGTCATTTGTATATTTATATTTTTGCTATATATATGAACGACAAGACAGTGATGAGTTTCTAACCGAAGTTGGGATGATGGGATTGAACAAAGGGATGCGATGCATCGATATTGTTAGATTATACACCATCGGGTGACCTGGTTGAGAAAGGTTCGATGTTCAATGGTCTACTCCTGAAAGGGGCTGACATAATAGATGACATAAAGGCAAAGCTGGAGAACAAGTGTCCTGGAACCGTGTCATGTGCAGACGTATTGGCATTTACAAACAACGCAGCAATGACAATGGCGGGTTTACCTGCTCAGAGGCCCCTTGGAGGTCGCAGAGACTCTATCGTTTCCCTTGCAAGCGTTGTAGAATCCGACAATCTTCCTATGTCAGATTGGAACATCGACCAAATGATGGAACTGTTTGGCAGGAAAGGGTTCAACATAGAAGAAATGGTGGTGATGATTGGTGCACATTCTGTTGGGATTTCTCATTGCGACTTCTTCATGCAGAGGGCCTTAAACTTCAGTGGGACTGGGATCCCTGACCCTAACCTGGGTGTGGAGGCGATTGATGAAATAAAAAAAGCATGTCCTAACCCTGGCACAACCCTGTATAGGAACCCCCCTGTGAACTTTGATGCCACACCAACTGTTCTTGATAACCTCTTCTTCAAGGACATGGTGGAGAGAAGGAGAACTTTGCTCATTACCGATTCACATCTGTATGAAGATCCCAGAACTAGGCCAATCGTCGAACAGATGGCAGCTGACCCTACCTTGTTCCCCAAGAGATTTCCTGAGGTCATGGTCAAACTCACTTCTTTGAATGTGCTCACAGGGAATGAAGGGGAGGTGAGGAAGATTTGTAGATCCACCAATTAAACATCAAACAAATTACTGTAACCATGTCATCATCATCATCATTAACCAAATTTCTTATTCTTTAATTCTTTTTTTCCCTACTGGGGCATTTTCTTCATATCCACAATCATCGCTGCCTCTTTTCTTCCTTCCATTTGGAATTTCTGTCATGTATTCATGGCCAACTAAATATTATTGATTTTTTTCTTATGTATTTCTGTCATGAATTCATGCGCAACTAAATTCAAAACTCTTAGTTGCAAAAATTGTGTAAAACTACCTGTCCCAAAAATCAGAGAAAGAGACCACGGCAGAAATCCATGGTTTCCCCTCTGTTGTTGTATGAAAGTTCTTAATTATTGCCTTTTGTACTCTTGGTTTATGTACATGTAAATTTTAAAAATATAATCAATTACCATGTCTTTTATCATTAAAAATAATAAAAATATTAAATAAATAAATTTTATGATTTTAATTATTTTTGTAATTTTTATAAAATAATTTTAATTAAATAATTTATAACTATAATTATGTAATTAAAAATTCTAAAAATTTATATTTCATTATAATTTATTTTTTTAATTTTTATTGTTATATTATAACTTTTTACGAAATGTAATTAATTAATAACAATTTTTTCCATTATAAACAATTTAAATTAATAAAAATATTAAATATAAATAATTTAAATTAATAAAAATATAAAATAATTAAATTTGTGGGGTTTTACGACTATTAAGTCGTACATTCCTACACACTTTCACTTTTTTTTATTTTTTTATTATTTAAAATGATTTATAATTTTTAAAGTTTTTTAATATTATTAAATAAATAAATTTCATTATTTTAATTATTTTTATAATTAAATTAATTTTTTTATAAAATGATTTTAATTAAATAAATTATAACTATAATTATTATAATTATGTAATTAAATATTCAAAAACAATTATATTTCATTACAAATTTATTTTTGTTTAATATAATAAATTTACTTAAACAAATATTTATTATAATTAATTTATTAAAATAAAATAAAATAATTTTATGCATTTTTATTAATGTAATTACAATAATTTTGGTTAGAAATTATTTAAAATAATTAATAATATTAAAACAATGAATTGTATCTAAAAATGAAAAGAATTTTATTTTTAATAATATTGAAAAACTTTAATAATAAACTTTAATTTTAATTAATAACATTAAAAATAATGAGAAATAATTTTAAAATAATTTAATTAATAATGTTAAAAAAATTTAATTATTAATTAGATATAATTTTATTATTTTAAAAACATTTAAATACATTATTTAAAAATTATAAATAATTTTGAATAATAAAAGAATTTAAAAAGTGAAAGTGTGTGGGTGGACGACTTCATTTAACATAAAAAGTCACAATTTAGTTATATTATATTTTTATTTATTTAAATAGTTTATATTTAATATTTTTACTAATTTAAATAGTTTATAATGAAAAAAATTCTTATTAATTAATTATAATTCGTAAAAAAATATAATATAATAATAATTAAAAAAATTAATTATAATGAAATATAATATTTTTTGAATTTTTAATTACATAATTACAATAATTACAATTATAAATTATTTAATAGAAATCATTTTATAAAAAATTTAATTTAATTATCAAAATAATTAAAATCATGAAATTTATTTATTTAATAATATTAAAAAACTTTAATTATTATAAATATATTTAAAACATTATTTAAAGAATATAAGTGATATTAAATAATAAAAAGTTAAAAAAGAAA